ACAAGCCATGTGTGGGACTGTTCAGTTGAATAAGCCTGCCAACACTGTGTGGTCTGTTTGTGTCGAAAGGGGCTGAAACCCAGTTTCCACCTCTGATATGGCACACATCTGCCCCACTCGACATGTCAGAAGATGGCCTGTAAACCTCTACACTGACATCTTGGAATTTATCAAGTCTAATGTATATAGACGCCATGAAGTTCTCTACACTCATTAGGATTCCTACTTAAGTTGTAAAGTTCAGCATATTCATTGTATTTTCTGCTCTTCAACCAAACAAAGGTAGAGACCAGCTGTGACTGTTATGTATACATAACTGCTCCTCCACACATACAAATTTTAGTAGAGAACACATATAAAGTATTCACTATGCATCTGGGCACTATTTAATCAGGGTCCAGCTCTTGTATCCAAACAGTATCTGCTAGGGATGCTCCAAAATGAAATTTTTAGATCGAAACCAAAATTTCTAAATTTGTTAGGCCGAAACCGAAAATTACTTTTTTTCCAACCTTTTTTAAAAAAATGTAAATTTATTATTTTTTTTGATTTTTTTTTTACTTTACAGTTGGGGGCTTTGGGGAAATATCTGGGGTCTAAACAGACCCGTGATATTTCCCTTTTAATATAGAAAAAGAGATTCTATAGAGCGTCCTCTATCTCTTTCTTTTTCTGCAGCCCCAACACTCCATGAATAGAAGCTTTGTGTTCATTCACAATCTGGAGATATTAAATATTTACTATCAACCCAGTCATGAATGAACAGGAAGCCCCTGACTGAGCTGCTACCTGTTCATTCATAAAGTGAGCAGATATTAAATATTTACTTAGTTCCCATTTATAAATTAACAGAAAAAGTGATGTATAGCACTTCCTGTTCATTCATAATTGGGGACAGAGTAATCGCTATGTTCTCAGTTATTTACAAACACTATGTAAACAGTAATGATCGCTCAGGGTGTGTGCTCCGCTCTCCACCCTGTCTGCTCTGCCCCTTCCTGCCTGTCACCTTACCCTGCACCACCCACTGAGCCTCCTGACTGCGTCTCTCCTCTCTGCTGGGCACTAGCAGCTGTATCAGCTCTAAGTCCCCTCCAATCCCTGCTGCCTTTGCCAAGACAGGCGGGGGAGAGCAGCGTAGATTGGAGGGGACACAGACCGAACCTTGCAGCCGACTTGCAGTGGGGAGGAGAGAAGCTGGAGATGCATCACATTTTCTGCCATTTTTTTGGTACTATCGGCATTTTGCGGCCGAAATTATGGTGCATCCCTAATATCTACATTTAGTATTAGAACTAATGATGTCACGGATCCTTAAGGTGGCCATATACTTTACAACCATCGCAAGACCTTAGTCTTGCGATGGTTGTAAAGTAATTAAAAAAACGTACGATCTGCCCATCTTGGACAGGCAGATCGTACTTGCGATCAAGGCAGCAGGGATTTGAGAGTAACTATGTGTGATGTGGCACTATAGGAAAGCTGAGAAATTCCTTCATGACTGCAGTAGTCACTGCAGTCATGAAGGAAAAAGCTAAATCTCAGCCTGAGTAGCAGCTGCAAGTTTTTCTTATTAGAGCCCATTCACACTGTTGCACTGCTCAGCACAGACATGTTAATGCCACTTGTTAACGTGCATTGCGTTAAAGCATCCCATTAAGTTCAATGGGTTGCCTAACACACCCAAAAGCATGAAAAATGTGAATGCACTATTTTTTTTGTACACATCCATTGCCAAGGTGCATTGGGAATGGACCACATCATACCAAGATGCACAGTACCATGTGCATTGCCGGAGAGAGATGGTGTGCATCTAGTGCACCCTATATGCCATGTTCACTATTCTGCACAAGCTTATTACAGATCCCATGCTATATGTTCATTATTTCATAGTGGCCAATCCTGTATGCCATTCTATACATTCCTTATTCTGCATGGGCGCATTCTATATGCCATTTCTGTACATCACTATCACTACATTATCCTGTATGCAGGGCTCAAAATTTCAAGTCCTGAGCTACTAGCCAGGCCTCAAGAGTTACTAGCCACCAGTTGCCCCACCTAACCCTTACCCTGCCCCGGGCTTAACTCCGCCTCTAAATACACCCTCTTAAATAATCTTATGATAATTCTTATTTTATGATAGTTGCCGCTTGTAAACGGCAGATCAGGGATTCCTGCTGCAGGAAAACGCAAGTTCCTGACACAGGAATCTCTAATCACACCTGAAATATACTGTAGGTGTGAATGGGGCCTAATATACACATACACTAAAGGTGCCCATACAACTGCCGATTATCGTACGATAATCGGTAGGTGAATGGGCATCGTGCAACCGCTTCTACTGTAAGGTTGTGCGACTTTCGTCTTCCAAGCATGCTGGAATACCTGCCAAAAATCGTACGATTTTTGGCGGGTTGGTGGTGTGGTCGGAAGATGAATGCCGCACGGGCCGATGTGCGCAAGCGCACATTGCCTGCTCAGCACTGCAATCATCGCAAGCCCTCCCCTCAGTGGGGAGGGCTTGCAATGATCGCATGTACGATCTGCCTGTCCAAGATGTAAACTAAACGTGAGATTGTAGTCCATCACAGGAGCAAGCTTGGAGTGGTGGCTATGTTACAACACACACAGGGACCATGGGGAACAAAAGTAGCCCCCCTCCAGAAGGAAGGACAGTGTCAGCACCAATTCAGAGATGATTTGAGGTTCTACAGCCGAGTGATACACAAATTAGATACATTTTTGTTAGTAGTTAAGGTAATTGAATGCATTTTCAGGTTTAATGGCTGTGACACACTGCACGCGAAGCAGCGCGGGGCGGTAGCGCGCTGCCTTTGCGTGCAGCGCGTCATGATATTTTCCCTCCAGGACGTCAGCTTGCAAGAGCATGCATAGCTGAGCGCGCTGAGATGAAAAATGTCATCTTCAGCCAATCGGCTGGCATGTATAAACCCATGTGTCACAATGCAAAGTCCATCCAGTGTATGTGTGTATATACAGATGTGGACACATTTATTTGTACACTGACAGAGGGAAATGTTGCTGATTGTAGAGGTATATTCTAAAATAGCCTAGCTAGATTTGTTGATACAATAAACTCTCCATTATATGGCATTCAAGCAACCGGCATATGTCCTTGCTCTTTTTTTTTTTTTTTGCTGAAGGCTTGATGCACATTAAAAAAAAGTTGGTTGCTTGGTGCAAAAAAATGTTGCTACCCGTGTTTCCCCGAAAATAAGACACTGTCTAATATTTTTTTGGGCTCAAAAAACACACTAGGTCTTATTTTCGGGGTAGGTCTTATTTTTTAAGGTCTGCAGCAGATCTCACTAATCACCCCAGATAGCCAGGGATCGATCCTCCTCACATACATTCTTTCTTTCGACCGAAGCTCAGAACTGTCAGAGCTCCGGCCGAAGAAAGCCAGAGCTGACAGGAGCTGCTCTGCGGTCTGCTTCCGACACAGATGCAGACCGTGGAGCTGCTCCCGCAAATCAGCTAAGTGGTCTGCGACCGTGTGCCTGACATGTCAGCAGGCTGCGGGCCACATAGTACCGCCTCGCGGACCGGTACTTGGAGACCCAAATTTCAACTTGCCCTCACTTTATTTTTACTCGCCAAATGCGAGCAGGCGAGTGGAAATTTTGAGCCCTGTTGTATGTCATGCTGTGCATTTTCTGTTCTGCAATCCCTTCTTCTATATACCATGCTCTATGTTCCCTTTTCTGCACTGCCTGTTGAATTGTTCTTTTAAACTATGTACACTATTTTTTTTGTACACTTTTTTTTTCTCTAGCCCCGTGGCTGAACAAGACCTACCCTCCCGCACCAGCTTTTCAGTTCTTTGTCACCTGCTATGGTACTGTTGTTGTAGTGTTGTTGTACAATGGTGCAATTTTTTTGTTTGTTGGGGAGGCCCATTAAACGTTTTGCAATGTAACCCTGTGATTTCTAGTTATGCCCCTGATTCTCAGAATGACATCCTGTTGCTATAGAGTCTTACAGAGTCTACTGTATGCTATGCAGCCACATGTTATCCTGTTTGAGATATTACTGTGAAGATAATCTGTGTTGTATTACTCTGTAGTGTATGTTCTATGCCCTTCCCTATAGCCATTGGTGGTTGAATATAGGAGATGTAACAACACGTGCCCTTTAAGGAAGTATATGATTTGATACTGTTAATTACACAGATTCTATTAAATCACAGATATGTATGTGTTGTCTCCCAAAAGCTGTTCATTATGTTCTTAATAAGTATCCGAGAGCCTAATGGAGAAGCAATTGACTGGAGATTGTGAAACACGTTGAGATTTTTGGTCCTCGCTCTGAGCCTTTGTAATTATACAAACTGCACAAACTGTATGTATGCATATATAGCAAGGTAAATGCATTGTAAACAAAATGAACAAGTAGGCCAAGTTAAACAATCTCTGTTTTATGGTTTCTAATACCTGATGTATGGTTTTTAATGTAATTTGTTTTGATATTCTTGATTTTAATGAAGAATTAAATTTTTAGCAAATATAGTTGTATGCGTACCATTACAGTCCACCAGTGCTCCAACTAACCTATTGTTTTATTAGTTTTCTAAGTACTTTGCCATTTTGTACTTATTTTTCATTCTTGACTCTAACTTTTCACCCATTTAGTAAACTGCAAGTTACAAATACTCTCTGGCTGATCATTCCACTGATTACTTATTTTGTTTCAGCTTCATATATGTATTTACATTGATTGCCTAAAACAACTAAAGCAATTTTGTAGATTTCCATAAAATAAAGGTCTGTACACTGGCTTGTTTCTAGTGCAGGGGTCCACAGATAAAAGGTTATATGTCAGTGTTTTGAAATTCTTTTATTTAGTCAAGGTTTGCCAATAACCTTACTTGTCCTCAGGTTAGGAGGGTAACCGTGGGAGGTTTTGGCTCCGTCTGTGACTCCCATTACTATAAGAATCCGTTTCTCAGAATCATTGGTGGTGACCTGTGTCCTAACATGCAGCTGCTCCTAGTCTCCGTCTGCCTGGTCATCTGCAGCTCTGCACTTATTGCAGCCACAGATCCGTAAGTCAATTATTATGGCAATTCATCTTTTCTACTTTAAAGCAAAACTTTAGGGGTATATTTAAAACGAAGTGAATGTGACATTCAACAATCTTCCTGGTACATGTGATTGATTAAAGTCACACTAAACTCAGGAGTTAAATCTTATAAATGCATTTAAGTACATTAACTATTAACAGAAATGTATCTTTTTGTGTAGCACTCGGCTGTAGAACCCCAAATCATCTCTGAATTGGTGCTGACACTGTCCTTCCTTCTGGAGGGTGGCTACTTTTGTTCCCCATGGTCCCTGTGTGTGTTATAAAGTGTCACTATTCCAAACTCCCTCCTGTGATGGACTACAATCTCAATACAAATCAGTAAACTAAACGTGAGATTGTAGTCCATCACAGGAGCGAGCTTGGAGTGGTGGCTATGTTACAACACACACAGGGACCATGGGGAACAAAAGTAGCCACCCTCCAGAAGGAAGGACAGTGTCAGCACCAATTCAGAAATGATTTGAGGTTCTACAGCCGAGTGATACACAAATTAGATACATTTTTGTTAGTAGTTAAGGTAATTGAATGCATTTTCAGGTTTAATGGCTGTGACACACTGCACGCGAAGCAGGGCAGGGTGGAAGCACGCTGCCTTTGCGTGCAGCGCGTCGTGATATTTTCCCTCCGGGACGTCAGCTTGCAAGAGCATGCATAGCTGAGCGTGCTGAGATGAAAAATTTCCTCTTCAGCCAATCGGCTGGCATGTATAAACCCATGTGTCACAATGCAAAGTCCATCCAGTGTATGTGTGTATATACAGATGTGGACACATTTATTTGTACACTGACAGAGGGAAATGTTGCTGATTGTAGAGGTATATTCTAAAATAGCCTAGCTAGATTTGTTGATACAATAAACTCTCCATTATATGGCATTCAAGCAACCGGCATATGTCCTTGCTCTTTTTTTTTTTTTTTGCTGAAGGCTTGATGCACATTAAAAAAAAAGTTGGTTGCTTGGTGCAAAAAAATGTTGCTATCATCTAAATATATTTAGTTGCTAACAAAATTCTTTGTTTACATCTTGCTGCTAGCCATCGACTAGTATCTGAGGTTGGCAGCAGAGTGGAAACACTGGGAGAAAAAGCCTGTTCTCTCTTAGGTACATTCCTCTACTCAGTGGGCGGGAATAATAGCCAGCCTGCTATTGGCGATTGCAATTTGAAATTACCAAAAGCAGACTGGCTATTACACCCGCCCACTGAGCAGAGGAGCAGACCTGAGAGGGAACTTTCTCTCAGGCTTGCTCCTCTGCTCAGTGGGTGGGGTCTTAATAGTCAGTCTGCTATTGGCTATTTTCAAATTACAATCGCCAATTCTCTCAGAACCACTCCACTGCTCAGTGGGCGTGGCTGCAATTGCTATTGCAATTTGAAATAGTAAATAGCAATCTATTGCTTCCGATTTCTTTCATTAACCTGTTGGCTGCAGAAGCTAGCTGGCAGGTGAATGGGGCTGTGGGAGGGCGGGGTGCCGTGGGGGGTGTGGTTGTTTTAGAGTTACTATTACCTTTCAAGCAACCAGAAACTGCAGTTATCAGGCCTACCAATCCGGACCTACCAATCACTGTGGATGGCGGATAACGGGGAGTTTACTGTAGGCCTAGAAGATTATAAATAATTGGAACATAGTGTTATTGCAAATTGTTGTCTTTTACTGCTTGCCATCTGGAGCAATTTCCAAATTTTTGCACACACATAATAAAATCTGAATTTTTGGCTAGAAAACGGCTTAATGCCCCCAAACAATTATATATTTTCTGAAAGCAGAGGATTTGTAGAATAAAAAATGCTAGCTGCAAGTGTTTTATGTCACATGATATTTGCACAAATCTTTATAAAAGCAATATTTTTAGGATAAAATACACTAAAATGAATTTTATTGCACAGAAACAGAATTTAAAGGAGAACTATGGGGTGAGTGATTTTCACTCATAGTTCGAGCCGGCGTGTGACAATGAAACTGTCACACGGTCGCTCAATGGATTGGGAAGTGAGTGAACACATACCGTCGCTCACTCACTTCTCGATCATGTCCCTACAGAGAGCCGTGACCTATAAATCATAACGTTCTATACACTGTGTATAGTCATGAGGATGCTGAGGAATATACTAATGCAGCAGCAAAGGAAGAGAGGCTTCGTGGGCATTGTTGTGCCACATATTTTGGTGTGGGCGATCGCACTGTAGGCCGGGAGGCGTGGCTGTGGTGCCATTGACTTGAATGCACCAACACTCTCCCTTCTGTCCCAGACCGTAGGTCGGCTGTAATTATGCGATCCAGCAACTAACTGTGCTGCAAACACACTGGGTTAGGTGTGAACAAGCCCTCAATCAGAAGCTCTTAATGATCCCAGACAACAAAGAGTTTATGCATCTGAATAAGATGTGGAAATATAGTAGAATTTCCTGCAACATATTGCATCACTAACTTTGCCTTCTTCTGCTGTATAAACAAGAGAAATGTAGATATAAAGTAGTTCATCTAAATTCCGTGTGATGCTTAGGTTAATGAAGTACCTAATGCTTTTGTTTGTCTGTAAAACTGACATTCCAGAGATGGGCAAAGATAGAGTTAATTTTGCCTCTTGAGACATAGAGCATGACACCAACGTTTGACTTTATAGTATTTATGATTAAGGCAATGCCAAATTTCCAGTGACGGTATCTTGCTATTGCATCCTACGCTATGCAGTATAAAGCTAAAATATGTTTGAGTGGACTTAACTGAACTTACACTATAAAGAGACACTGTCCCTTTTGCCTATTTAGTCTCCCCTGTTCAGGGAGGTATACTCATCGAGCCTCTACCGTAGGTGACTCATCGAATATCATATTATTGGTGGACTGACCATGTAAAAAAATGTGCAATATGCAATAAATATGTTATTGACCTTTCTATGTTCCTACAGCCACTATGTGATCATTGTTCCCAAGAAGATGGAGGAGGGATCTCAGGAGAAAGTCTGCGTCACCCTCGAAGATCTAGATGGTGAGCTTCACTTAAAACTAGAGCTGCAGAAAGATGATCACGTCCAAAATATAGCTGAGCAAGATGTAAAAACAACGGACTTTAGCCACTGTTACTCTTTCCAGGTGAGTAGTAATATACTAATACAAACGGAATGGATATTTACTAAATAAACCCCAAGGCATATTGTTTAGCATGTATACCTACCCTGGAAGCACAATGAACCTCAGAACACCCAAATGAACTAACGACATTTCAGGAAGCTAGGAAACAAAAGGTGTGCCAAGTCCTGCAGTATATTTTCTTTAAAACAATCAGCCAAATCCTAAAGCTGGTTCTTGATGAACCGGCTGAAATTTGTTCCGTTGCTGGCCCTGTCTGTTAGCTTCCACATGATGCCATGACTGAAAAAAAAAAATCAAAGAATTTGGGTGGAAAAGTTGGGTGCCGAACAGTGCCCACATCCAATCAGATGCAGGCACTGTGCAGTTTTTTTGGCAGCCAGCAGGGCCAACTGTCAAAACACAATAGCTGCTGCAAGCTGATTCCTCAATCCACACTGTTTTGCAAAGATGGAAGATTGTGTTCGATTTTTTTTTTTTTCGTTTAGCTCTAAAGCTAAACAAAAAAATCTACTAATGTATATCCAGCTTTAGTAGAAAAGCCTGTGTCCTGCTAGCATGCTGCAGAATAGGACCACTGCTCCCGGGGGGGAAGCAATGATCTTTTTTCAGAGCTCTGACACCTTTCCTTCCCCCTCACCAAGTCTTAGCCGTTTCAATAAGCAGGAAACATTAGCTGTACTCATTGCAGAACTGTAGGGGACATGTCCAACCTCTGCAATAAGATTATGTTACCAGGTCACCTCAATCTTCTGCAATCAAACGGTCTTTATTCACCATGTCACACAAATAAGTGGAACGTTCCAGAACCAGTAAGGGCCCCTTCATCAGTCAAAACGATATGTCATGTTACGTTGCTTGATGAAAGAACCCCTGGTGGCTCGAAAATGTTGACTTTTTTTGTATGATGAGCTGGACAAACATCAATATAGACGATTTGATTGCAAAAGATTGAGGTGTGCTGGTTACAGAATTTTATTCTGATTGTTGTGACCCCCTCCACCAGTTGCCCTAACACCCTGTTCTTGAGGGTGAATATTGTTTTGGTGTGTGATGGCCATACCTCCATAGACCTCTGCAACAGGACCACTGCTTCCATAAAGAGAGCAAGGGTCCCACACTGCAGCTGCTGGCAGTTGATAGACCTCTGTGGCTGCTTAAGATAAACAAAACTGCTGCGATCAATTTATAACTAACTTCGTCATCACTTTCAGTGTCTGATGACGAATTTCCCAACGAATCGTTATCACTCAATTCTGCAAGTGATTCTAATTTACTATCGCTGTTTTCTACCTGGTCTAAAACCGCTTTTGACCTAAAACAGCGACGATTCTGCGACCGAGCTCAGTGATGTGCGAACTTGGTACTCTATTGACTGTGGTACGGATCAGGCAGCGCCCCCAGAATTCCCATTTACTGGACTCTTGTTTGGACAGATTTAGGTGAGTTATTCCTAAGATTTACTAAGAATTACAGGCCTACAATATAAAACAACAAATTGCCATGAAAAACAATGTACCGCTTTGGGATGCTAAAATCCTGAATAATCAGAACACCAGGGAGGTTAAACAGTGGCCTGGTGGTTTAATTCACAATGTCCCATGCTAAAAACAACAGCAAAATCTGTTTTGTTTTTTTTGGAATAGGTTCCTTCCGTGGAGCATGATGCCACAGACTGGTCATTCCATGTCTCTGGGCAAGGAGAGCACCTTAAATTTGACGCGACCAGGAAGGTTATTATACACAAGAAAGTTTATTCTTGTGTCATCCAAACAGACAAAACTACATACAAGCCCGGTGATATAGGTAAGACTAAGGTTCCACTTTAATAAAAATGATTTCTGTCCCATGTGGCCCTGTATTTGAATAGTAAATCTTATAATAGCAGCTCGGGCAGTTGTCATAGGCAGTCACTTTTTCTATGTGGCCAGGCCATGCTTCTTTCACTGTCATGCATGATGAGAAACTCTGAAGGATTTGATTCAAATTCATTATGTTTTTTAACTTTATACTGTATGTTTTTAAACTTTTTTTATTTCTATATAACATTTTTATTTTATAAATTAAAATTGAATGCAGAGTGCACCCATAAGACTAGCGGTCACATGTGCAGATTTACAGAGCTCATTAAATTTTTTTACTCTTCCACTCTTCCTCAATCAATCAAAAAAAAACTAAAATAAAAATGCCTTTACATACGCTTTAACTTAATCTCAAGTAACATGCTTTTTTATCAGAACAGTTCAGTAGCGAAAGGTAATCAAGAAAAGAAGTCTACAGCTCCATCTGTTGATTGGAAATCATAAATATGGGATGTTCATCTGCAATATGTCATATATATGCCATGCAATAAAAAAAGTAAATGCATATTTTAGTCCTAAACATATTAAAGTAAGAAAACATATAGCTAAAGAGTAGGGATGCACCTATACCAAGTACCATACTCATACATATATAAAGGGTTGCACCGATACCATTTTTTCAAGTACAAGTATTGATACTTGCCCAAGTACTGATACATTTTTGTTTATTGCCATGTGACAGTTTTTCTAAAACAATACAGACTAATGAGTTCAGCACAGTGGTGGAGCGCCAGAGCCAGGTCCCAGCTGCAACCCTGGTAGTTCTCATGAAAATGTGAAGTATTGGCACTGGTATCGGTGCATCGCTATCCCGTGCATTCACTTTAAGCCCATCACCTACTCCTAGTGCCATTTCCATCTGAGATATACGATGTGCAGGGGATGATAAGATATTGCCATTTTTTTTATTATCAGACAACACCAAAATTCAGTTACTATAATTACCTAATTATTTTTTATTTCAGTGAGGTTTCGACTGCTGTCAATTGACCATAATTACCAAATTTCAAACGAGAAGGTAAGTCTTCATTATACATAGACAGTAGTAGACACTGATAAAAGCATGTAGAAACAATCTATTTTTGCTAATCAATACATAGGTGGGGAAGGCAAAAAGTGTTGGCATTACGATATGCAATTGCCCTATATAGTTGTTGGTGTGAGTATTCAATATACCTTTTAGATTTACCAAGAAGTCGTCAGCTTTGTAAATGTAAAGAACAAGATACCTATTGTGACCTCCCAAACTTTGTAACCTGAGAAAAAGGGATACTGTGGGGAGAAGAAGACATGTGGCAAGCTCTGCATGCCTTAGTGAAAGTGGGAGTGGATGAAGTGTGCTGAATATTGGCCAAGACAAGCTGGATTCCCCACAGTGCAAGCCTTACCGCACTTCTGTTGTGGCGAGTTGTGAACACGTTGGACAGTGCAATAAAATGATGCCTGAATCATTTTGATGCAGCTCAACACAGCGCTGCAAACAGATGTGAATTAAACCTATTCAAGCTAAGGCTGTTTGCATCGTCTTTGTGTTGTGTTTACGTTGGCCATTGCTGCCCAATGCAGCTTCATGACTGTGGGTCGAACCAGCCCTGAAACCTTTTGCCATCACATCCATTTTTGCAGATGTTAAAATGCACATTTTAGATATGAACATTACTTAACCCTTGTGGTATACCACTAATAATTTTACCCCGTTATCAAAAATGTTCCATTTACAACTACCCCTGCCTTCAGTCTTGTATCCAGATCATTACCCGTGCACAAATGTCCTTTCTTAATATTTGTATCCCCAACTTCCGTAAAAAGTTATTTTGAGGACTGGTATCAAATGTTCTAATAAAATCCAAACATGTCACATGAATAGCAACAACCAGATTAAAATATAGTGACTAAATTTCTACGGAATATGATGGAAGTGTCCAAATCAGTCAAAGTCATAGAAGTGATTCCTAAAATATTTTAGGTATTATAGGGGTTAGGTATTATAAAAGCTAATATTGCAGTGTAAAATATATATACATGTTTCATTTTATTATTATTATTTTTTCTTTTGCATTTTAGTATGAAAAAATCTTGGTACAGGTAAGTGCTTTTTAAAAAATGTTATGGAACTATTTGTATTTTACAGCTAATACTCTTTAGGTAGAGGAGTCAGTTGGGAGTGCAGCCCTATTCAATAAAAAAGTAGTGTCAAAAAAATACAGTGTCAAACAGATCATTGTCATTCGTCATATGGCAACACTTAGTAGCTTTCCAAATTAATTACTCTTTACCCCAACTTGTCCGACTATCTCCCACTCTGACTGCCTTTAGGCCAGGGGTCTCAAACTCAATGCACTCGGGGGCCACTCGACACATTTTTTTCTCTCATGGGGGCCGCTTGCCAAATTTCATACTTTAAAATAAAATGTAACTATATCCGGTTTGGTACTACAGACACTAATATATACTCACAATAAGGCCCATACATATCTATAGGTTTAGGTAGGATTAGGGATTCCTGCATCAGAAACCTGCATTTTCCTGCAGCAGAAATCGCTAATCTGGCGTTTAAAAGTGGCAGCTGTCACCCATTCAAGTTAATGATTAGGTGGCAGGAGTTGCATGTAAACGCCTGCATACCGCATGTAATGATATGTATTATTATTACATACGGTTAGAAAACACTCTCCCTGGATGCACAATCATTGTGTCCAGGTAGAGTGATTGATTCCTAACCGAATGTAATCATATCGCATACTATTACATTACATTAACTTGAATAGGTGACAGCTGCCACTTTTAAATGCCAGATTAGGGATTTCTGCTGCAGGAAAATGCAAGTTCTTGACGCAGGAATCCCTAATTGCACCTAAAGATAGAAGTGTGAATGGAGCCTAATACACTTCTACTCCCCCCCAACCCCCCCGTACATGTAAAAAATACTACCCCTGTACATATAAAAAAATTACACCC